ATACTCACATATAAATATATACGAGTACGAGTGTGTTATATAGATATGGACGAATATGTGATTTTATATTTACAAATATTTAATGTACATTTCATTTTCTGATAAAGAGAAATTTTGTTAATCTTATGATTTTCATTTATCGTCAGACTCGTAAAGTACAAACTTAACTGTGCATGTGCCTATATACGAGGCAAGGATACGATGCACACACATATGCACACATAAAAGTATCTCAATATTTTTGTAATTATGTACGCAGAGCTATGTACTTGTATCTTGTATGTTATATATCTTGTGTATTTGTTGTTGTTGTTGTTGTTGTTTATGGAGTAGTGCTGCAGTACATATGTCAACGTGTGTGCATTGATGTATGTTGCTACATAAAGTTTCACTTGTATTATTTTCAGTTTTTTCCCTCCGCCTTCGTAGATACTCGTATATATATAATTTTTGTATTGCCGTGCATTCAATAGCGCACATGCTAAGGAAGCATGTATCGCTTATTTTCGCCTCATTAAACTCAACTCGAGTGTCTCAGGATCACTTCAATGTCGTAAATTCCGCACAACTAAATTTTTACCCACCCTTCTAGTAGACGGTAGTCCTCCTGCTAAAAGCTGTAGTTAAGGGGGTAAAATTTATGACATTTATGAAATGCTACATTTAAAAATTAAAAACAGAGATGATACCAACATATCAACCAGTATTGATATGAATGTAAGCTCGTATGCGTGAGTAGGCCCGAGTAGGCCTGAGTAGGCCTGAGCGTTTGTCTTAAGATCCATAACTAAATTCACTTCAAGAAGCTTCAAATAAAAATGCCTTTTCAATTTTATATTTATTAAGCAAAAAGTTAAAAAGAAATCAACTTTCTATTTACCAATTGATAGTAAAACTCAGTAAGTCCCTTATATCGGCAGTTTAATTATAAATAAAATTATGACGTATGAGTAAAGCTGTGGTGTAATAACATTATGAACAAAAATTACAATATTTAGTCAGTAAACAAAATATAAAATATAAAACTTTTAACTGGCTGTTTATATTATTATCATATATGAGGGTCACTTTTTATATTTTGAGCCTTCGCAACACTGATTGTTGTCAGGTGTCATCTGATATTTCCATACTAACCTTTGAACATAACCTAACCCATCTTAGACTTTTTGTCACAAAAGCGTTACGAGTATTTGTGTTATTTACACTGGTTTGTAAATTGAGTGTTCCCACAACTTTCACAAGATCAACACTGCATCACAAGACAACACTGCATCGATCAACTTACTTCCACATTTGGCAATGAAGGTCCATCCCTTTCCACTGTGAATGTACAATGATTTTAATGGTGGCCGCTTATCATGGTTCACTCACTGACAAAATTTACATAATTCGTAAAGGTCATGAGTTGTTAAGTTGTTGTGCTAGAAAACATTGATGCTGTACAAAAACTGATACGAGAAATGCTAGATCGTCATGTGACGTACTAATACTGTGAGGTTGAGATTGAGGGAACCCTAAGCATTAGTTTCACTAGCATATATAGAATATTGCATGAATATTTAACCGTGCCATGGTGAAAGGTTTCATCTCGTTGAATTCCATCATCCATTATTTGACGAAATCTCAAAAAGATGCACGTATGATCGTGTCGATCGATGCACACAAAAGCTCAAGAAGTACAATAGCGTTGCTTCAAATGACATATATTTATATAAGATTTTAATAGGTGACGATATATGTTACAGCATCGACTGTACTCGTTTGGATGGTTTAAGATACACCAAATCCAAATTCAACAAAAGTTTTTTGCGCTCTAAGCACTTCGATGGAAATGGGCGTGAAAACTGGTCATGTGGCAACTATGCAAACGTAAAATGTTCTTTTATTGTTCGTTGGATTTATTCTAACATAAGATTTGTCTATATTATAGATTCATTGTTCACGAAATAATATTTTCCCTGCAAAATAATTATTAGATTTATTGTAAAAACAAGTATTCCCAAATAATACCAAGTGAAGCAGAATAAGTAAATAAGGAAAGAATTTTAGTCAAAGACTTATGATATATATAATGAAAAAAGATTTTTGGAATATGTATTTTAAAAAACGCAGTAGAATATTATTGATCAGAAATCGTTCTCAACTGATATCAGGTCCTGAGTGACTGTTTTATACTTCCAAAGATAAGATTATTATTTCAATGAAATCGTTACGGAGAAAAAAAACATTTGCTGTTAGTTGGTCATTACAGAATTTAGTCGTCCCTGTGGTGTCCCCAGTTAATAGTACCGAGTGCCTTTACATCATTGGTCACCTGCTACTTCCACAAAAAATGGAGACGTCCGCTACCATGTTTTCCAATTGCGAGACCTAATCAAACACTTTTCGAATTGGAGCAAAATTTTCTGTATTTGAATCAGTCTACGAAAAATGTTAGGAAGATTTCATGATGCCATAATTGTATAGTATTCGATGAGGGTTCTTTCAAGCCGAAATAATAAACGTTGATTAATCAAGAGTTCTTTAATGTTTTATTTGATAATTTGTGATATTTTGCACGGATTAAGGAGGCACATGACAGCTGCAATAGAATATGTAAGAGATATTTCTGATGGAGATATTTTTGTTTGCATGCTAGAAAGAGAATATTAGAATATTGAATTGAAGTATTGATATATAAATATACATAAAAGTTTAATAAATTGTATTGAATTTATTTCATATCCTCGACACTTCTAATTTTTGAATTATTTTGAAATAATTTTTGTGGAAAGGCAGCATTTGTTGTCTAAGAAACAATTAATTTTAATATTAATAAGGACAGATTTTCAATAACGAGTAATAAATTATTTAAACAATGAAAATTATTTATCCTTAAGTATCCAATTTGAATAAAACTGAGACAATGGTTGTAAGGCTTTCAGTTCAAAAACAAAAAGTAAAGTTTATCTGATGATGAAAAATTTCATGGAAAAAACTTCGAGGATTAACTTTATTCATGAGAAAGTTTAACGCTAGATGAACTCTTGACGAATACGTTTGTCTTATTTGAACGCAATTCTAATACCTCACTATTATTTTGTATATATATATATATATATATATATATATAGATAGTTGTGTATAATATATTCTTATGCTTGTGACATAATTTCTTCTTAACGCATTATTCTTGTTGCTGGCTTCTCTGTCTGTACTATGTCATATTATGTATTATTATTATTATTATCATTATTGTTCTTGCTGTTGTTGTTCTTGCTGTTGTTGTAGATGTTAGTGCTGTTGTCTTAAGTAAATTTAATTTTATTACCAGAAATGATTAATTTAAAAGATTTCAGAAAATTAATGGTCTTTCTTGCTATACATATTATTATTATTGCTCTTCAAGTAAGTGGGCTGAAGCAGCAGGACAAAACACAACAAAACACAACAAAACACTTCACATCATACAGATTTACATAATAACTTTAATGTGAATATCCTGAAAGAAATATGAATTGGTAGAGGAAACTCAGTCATTTTGTTTTTTTTGTTTTTTTTTATTATTTTTTGTTTTTTGGGATAAACAAAACAAAAAAGTTGACAAATTGTTCTATGAACTTACCGAGTTTAACGCTAGTTTAAAATTTGTCCTGTCCTTGTGGGTGTTGGCTTGCATGAAATCAACGGAAACAAATAAAATGAATAAATAACTTCATATTATTTCATTGTATGTATATGTTTTTTTATTTGAAATTACAATAAGAATAAATTAGGACTCTAGATATTCAGAGAAATGGAGTATTAAATCATTAATAATTGCAAACCTTTGCAGTATAATTGTTTCTAATCGAACAGAGGGCATTCCATTTAACTAATGAATGTGAGTATGTTTTCTTTTTGTTGGTAAGAAGCACTACCCTAACGACAAACTGAAGAATTGCTGTGGCAATATTTACCCTAACCGGAAAAGAAATAGGTTTTAAAAGAGTTTATTATTGTATCCTATACGCTCTATGGAACCTACGGCAACAATATTGTAAAAAAACAGCACCATCTGTATTTATAGGCCCGAAGTCTTTCTGTCAGAAAAGAGGAATTGATTTTTTCTCTCTTATTCGGTAAGAAGAGGATTAGTAAGAAAAGCTCTTTCAATCCAAATCGCATATGGAAACTTTCAACCTAAATCGATTTAAGAGTTTTATAAAAGAAATAGAAAACAGCATCAGAAATATTGTAGAAATTTTGAAAAGGCATTGTTAGTTAAATTGACGCTTTACAAAACTGCTAACTTAGTCTTATGTAGTTTTTAGGTTTTGTAAGTTAGAATAAGATAATGATAAGATAATGTATAAGAGAAAGATATATTTACTTGGGCATTTCATATCGGATGACATGAAATAAGATTCGGCAAGGTAGTTCAACAAAATATTTTTTAGAGTAGAATTCAAAAATACTCTTAATCCTTGCAAGGAGTACCATAAATTTATAGCTCCCCGAAAATTGCAACTTCGTGGAATGATTTTTAATATGAGGTAGCTGGCTGTGATAAAAGTTTGGGTCAATAAAGTCACAAATTTATCTAACCAGTTAAAATGTGATATATATCACTAATTTGTTTATTACATATAGTTTACAAACATATATATAACAATTTCGTTGCAGTATTAACCTTAAAAGTGAGAGGAAGTTATTGTTTATGAGTATGAAATCTACTGAGTTCTAAGGGATTACACTACCATTACTTTCAAATAACCTCACAAAATTTGCGTTGTCTTCAAAAAAATACTTTTTTTTAATATTCATTTATTTAATTAGAACTATAAGTTTTTTGAAAATTTTATAAAATTATTAACAAAACCGTTTTTCTAACATTTATCACTTGTATATTAACAATTATCAACAAACACAAGAATACTTAAGAAATTTATATTAATAATAAATAAAAATAAAAAAACACTAAAATTATTTAAATATATTAGATATTTAAGTAATTCTATTATTGTTTTTATCCGATCAAAAATAGAGAGCTCAGCATTATAATTCACTCGCATAATAGTGTATGCGTTGGAGTAAGGCCGGCATTGTCGTAGGTACACTGCAAATTATTTCTACCTGAAATTAAGAAAATAATAATTATTGACTTTACAAATAAGCTAAATTCATTCAAATTAATGAATAATACAATTTAAGCAGAATAAAGAATATTAAAAAATTTGACAGAAGTAGTTCTCATTTGAAACTAAATAAATAAAATTATTAAAATAAATTACAATATTCATATAGAAAAAGGATGAGAAGCATTAAATAATTTGTACTCTCTCCAAGTATAGTCCATGTTCTACACCTGTTATATTGTATCGCTCCATCTATAGAGTGCTGATCGTTTCCCTTGTACATACATAACATATATGTACCTATTCAGCAAGACGTATTTTTGCATAGTATTTATTCAGATACAGTTCAAATAGGTTATACCTTTGTGTGTTTGAAGTTTAAAGCTACTACATCAGTAGCTGATAATGTTATCGGTACAATAACCACTTCCACAAGTCTCCAAATTTTCCTAGCCCATGGTATGTAGTTGGTCATCTTTTCTACATACTTTTGCTCAATGTTGCCATTATGCGAAATAGCAGCTTCAATCAGGTATGCTGAAGCATTCCTTCTATCAACCATTTTATACTATCTCTGCACTATCCATAATCAGGTTCGTCGTTTTAGGGCGAGTGCTTCAAGTATTACCTAATAAAGTTTATTGTAATGCCAAGTTAGACACATGACCTGTAAACTTATGCAATGAATGCATATGTTCATCACGAAATTTCATGTCCTATCATACTATAAGATTGTTGGAAAGCAACCCATCACGTTACCATGGTGAATGTTCTTCTTCTTCTTTCGTAGCATAACACTCCTAATTTTCTTCATCAAATATTTGCCAGCTGATGTCTTGATGGCACATCTTTCTAGATCTGTCTCTTCTTTAAGATGCAACTCGGTTTCTTACAAGTACTTGTTTTACTAATCGTTCTGGATTCATACGCTGAGCGTGTCCTAACTTAACATCTTAGTCGTTATGATATTATGTTTCGTATTAAATTCTGTTTATTGATTGTGTTCTGCAATTCGTGATTGTAACAAATACGATATATGCCATTATCTAAACGTATTGGACAAAAAATCCTTCGCAGTACTTTTTGTTTGTGGAACATTAGTTGGCATGTTTCGTTTGCTTTGGGTATCCATGGCCTATGCTACTATCTCAATAATATGAAACAATCTGAGAAGACAAATGGATCTCTTTGCTGAAACTAGGTTTTATCTGGATTAGTGATAGTAAGTCTTTCATCTTCGTCTAATATTTAGAAATTCTCAACGGATTATAACTAATTTTAAATGCGTAAGTACAAACATCAATTATGACGAATACGGTGGTTCGCCAAAGGAGGTAGTGACGCTGGAGGAAACGTCAAAACGGTCCAAAATATCGTTTTGGCAAACTGTAAAGTAACGTTGTAGAAAATGTTTGACATCTTAAACACTTCAAAGAAATGTGACTGCTTCATTTCATATGAACAGATGTTTACGAGAAAGGTCTTTTCGAAGTGGCTACCGCATTAGCTGACAGTTAACCAAAATCAACAACATGTAATGTTTTGGTAGAACTGTTTCGAACTGTTGGAGCAAGATAAACTATACTTTTTGTGCTTCTATATAAAAATAGACGAAACTTGAATCCACCACTTCGCTCGAACTAGTAATCAGCTTCATTAACAGTAGACAGACAGACAGCTAGCAAGGTTATGGTGTCTTTAGTTTGCCATGCACATGAAATTTTGTTCATTGACTACCTTAAAAAGCCTAGACTATACATAAGGATCGTCCTCTTTTACTAAGACAATATGCAATATCACAAATCGTTGCATCCACCACCATATTTACCAGATTTGAGTTCCAGAGGTTACTACTTATTCACAGACCTCAAAAAAGTACTCCTACAATACTGCCGGCGCTCAAACAGAAGACATCTAAACAACTGTTTTGCTTATGTAAAAGCTTAAGTTTTAGCGAGTCCCAATCTTTTACATACTCGGCGATTTTTACAATATTAGTATACTTATGTATATAAAGCCAGCTGGGTGGGTTTTTATATTTGTATGCTCTACTTTCAATCCACAACTGAGAGGAATATAAAATCAAAACGGCTATCTTATCTAATTGGAGAGAACTTGCTTTTATTTCTACTTCACTTAGTTACTTAGTCTATGCCGGACTGTCATTTCGAATTAGTGATTAGAAAAATTTAGATCATAACTTAAGTCATGATGAAGCCACAAACAGTAATCCCAGAACTATTTGCTCTCAAGATATATGAATATGAAATAATTTTTGTTATGGCGTTAAATTAAATAGTCCTTAAAAAATATTAAACATTAAAAAAATTATAAGAATTGAATAATATTATATATTGCATATTCCCTAGGAACGTTCCTTGAAGAAACTTAAAAATGAAAAGAAAATCGTACAAAGTACGAAGATCTCATTTTAGTATTCATCGAGATATATGATATTAAAGAAAATTCTACCTAAAAAAGGTTCTACCTTCGGCATAAGAATACATCATCCTTCCATATGTTCTTTTTATTCATTCCGTTCATTCTACTTTGGACCACGAATGTTTACCGGAGTACCATGACTGTGCTTCTTAGCTACATATGCAGAATTCGGTCACTGATAGACAATATTTATTTTAGCATTTGATTTCTGATTTTAAATCATTTGTGAATAATTTCATTAAAAACTAAACCCGAAGTCTGTTAAAATTGTGATTAATAAAATAAAGTGATTTTTTCATAGTTTTTCAATTATTCTGTGCCCAGTTAAAATTGTAATTAATAGAATAAAAATTTCTTGATAAAAAAATAAAAAAAAATACAATAATTTGGATTTTTCAAGCGATTGCATTGCACTTACCCTCAACGTCCATTTTTCCGCGTTTTGTCCTCATAAGCTTCACAGTTAAATATAGCGCAGCACATAGTAGGCAACCTGAACCAAGGATGATGAAAAATAGATTAATCCATTTGTTGTCTGCTTGGTGCGTTTTCGCGGTTTTCACGTTTTGTGAATCCTCATTTAGCTGAGTTAAGCTAATGCAAACAAGTTCCGCTGGTTCTATACTTTCAGTAGTTGTTGAAAATTCATCTGAGTTGATTGCACTTTCTGTGCTCGTGGAGCTCATATATTCTACATTTTCCGTAGTTCCATTATATTCGAAGTTATTTAACTGCAACTTTTTTGGTTTTTGTGCTACGAATCCCTGCTGGCAGGCGCAAGTGCCATCCTCTTGACAAATTGCATATTTGGCACAAGGCTTAAATTTGCAATCAGCTTCAGCGCTGGCAAAAATTTCGGGACGACACTCACCGTGGTAATATATGTAGCCAACGGGGCATGCATTTGTTGATTTTAGTGGTTTCTCTGTAGTGCTTTCATAAGATCCCGTGTGCATCGTATGCGGTGTGCTCAAATAGATTTCCTTATATTCAGTCGAGTTAATTTCATAATCAATGCCTTGGTTCTCTACTCCATTCGCATTAGCGTCAATAACTTGGTCTCTTAATTTTGTCATTGTTACTGTTGTTGGCGTTGCTGGTGTTGTTGGTGTTGTTGGCGTTGCTGGTGTTGCTGTTGTTGTTGTTGCTGGTGTTGTTAGTGTTGCTGTTCCTAGATGATTTCCTGTTTGTACATTAGCACATGTTGCATCCCCACATGTAACCGCTGTTGCTTCGCACACTTTTGTTTCATTATTCCAAGTGCTACCCAGTTCGCATTTACAGGCTTCCGGTTGCAGACATATGCCACCATGGACACAACCTGAGCTACAATGTGCAACACACTTGAGTTCTTCTAAATAATAGCCACTTTCACATTCCCATTTTTCTGGCGCTATGCATCGTCCATGTACTGGGCAGTTCTCACACACTGGCTCACATGTTTCGTATGGAGTCATTTTAAAGCCTTTACAACATTCGAGAACAGTTTCTGATATGACTATTTCAGTAAAGTCCCGAATAATCTCAGTAACGATCTTATACTTGTTATTTTTCACAAATTTCTTAGAGGTTCGTTCTTTTGTTATTTGTACAGGTTTTAGTTTTGTTTGATTTCTGTAGCAGAAATTATCATTGAAGCCGTAAACATTTTGCAGTAAACACAATATTCCTAACGCTCCTAAAATGATTTGTGTAACTGTGAGCATCATTTCTTCAAGTTTATTTTAAGTTTCCGATTTATATTTGTTTTCTAAAAGGAGTTTTATTTTTATAAATCCAATGGTTTTTATAGAGATTCTCGCTACCGGAACATCAGCTCAACACTAAACACAGACTGAACTATTTTCGTTGCTTTAGCTGTTGAATTATAGTTTGTATTATATTTACGCATTAACATCCGGCTTAAGATAATTTATCAGAATCGTGCACTTCTCTCTTTACGCCTTCATATTTTAAGTATGCGGCATTTATCGTAATTACTGTGAACTATGAGTCCTATACTCAGTATTATAGTATATACTATTAAGAAAGATGTTTCACTGACACATACATATGTATATAGTATACATACATATATGGCATCGAAGTTTGTATAAAAATAGTATTACGCATATCAATATAAAATAGCATAAAACCAAATACGAGCTACATTTGGGACACATCGACTTGTGTATACCCTATATAATATATTAACATTTCTTTTTCATAATAGCTGTGATGGTAGATTAAGTTCGTGGCGATGCACAGTGGAACAAACTCAAAATTAAACGATCAAAATTGAGCATTTTTGGAATAACGTAAGCCCGCTTTTGAGTGTAAGCCCACTGAGCCCATTCGGCTTATTGACATCTTCTGAAATTTGAGCTCAAACATGGTTAATTTTTAATTTTTATTTTTAATAACATTTTACCAAAATAACACAAATAGGCCCACGAGTGTTCAACTGTTGAACATTTTTTAAATATAGCAAAAACTATAATAGGTAGAAAAATTAATTTTGAGATACAAAATATTTTTACTATATTCATAAGATTTAAAAATAGTCTGGCGCACTATGCAATATATGACGTTTAATAAACTTCATATAGAGTCAAACTTCCATAACTCGAATTTTCTATAACTCAAATTTTCTGTAACTCGAATTTTCTATAACTCGAATTTTCTATAACTCGAACTAAATAGAGTGCAACAGGGTTTAAAGAGTAAATTAGAAACAGAAAAAATTCCTTAACTCGAAATCCTAACAAGTCGAACCTTTTCTTTTTGAAAATGGTACTACGAGTTATGGATATGTGACTACATATAAACTAAAAAAAAAAAATAAATAATAATATAATGATAATTATTGTTTCATAAGTGTTTCATAAATTTCAAGTACGCTCTGCAGCGTATATCTCCACTGGTTCAGAAAATATCGTATATATTTTGTTCGTCTTATTTTAATTCTGCTCCACTGTGCGATATTTGTTTTATAGTAACTAAGGCAGCGCAGGTTCTATGATGTTTGTAAGGATGTATATCTTTCCCAAAATGAATCACGTAGTCAATAATTTATATATATGTTTGAAACAAAAATGACTAAAACTCATCAAAATAGATTAACGGAACCGATTCTTTTAATGCTGGAGCTAAAACAATAGTGACAAAAACGATAAGAGCAGAATAGTTGTCATAAATTCCGAATTATGGAGGACTTTAAAGTGTCTGAAACGTCCTGTTACATATGTTGGTCGGTAATGAAATATACATGTATGTACAGGTGATGGCCTTTGCCAATAAATTGTTTGATTCATATTGATTGATTGTTTGCAAGGAGTAGTGGGTCTAAAAGGTTATTACACGTTGCGATCACATCTCATTTAATTCAGCTCAATCAAATCGATAGGGATTTTTTGCACTGCACTTATGTAAATATTCATTTCTTTATTTATTGCATTTACTTATGATTTTTAGTTAAAAGTTTTCATATTTATTTATTTATTTATTAAACTTCTTATAAAATTTCCACAATGGTAATACCTAATTTAATTAATTTTTATCTAATTTACACTACTCGAAATTCTGATAAATACCAACATTCGCTGCGATTCAACATAATTTATTATTTCTTTCAATTTACTATCAATTTACTCGAACTCGCACACGGCCTGAGGTATTATTCAAACATCATGAGATTTGTAGCTACTGGATTTTTTGTCTGTGTTTATGCAAAATAATGTTTTCAATCATTAAATTTTCGATGCCAATTTCTTGAAAACGCATAATTATCTAGTTTCAACCCACCTACTGGTGGCTGTATGTCGACATTTCAGTGACAGCTGTGTAGACAAGATCCAGTTCTATGAGATATTCGTTGGAGGACATTTTAATAATGTTATATTTTAGACCTAATGAAATAAAAATTTTGATCGATATCTTAATTTCAAGTTGATTATTTCTGTTTACTTTTGAAATCACTTAATGGATAACCCTGTATTATTTATATAGCATTAATACTTGACTATCATGGCAATATCTCAATCAAAAATTTGATCGTTACCTTAATCACAAGTTGATTATTTGCGTTTACTTTTGAAACCACTTAATGGATAACCCTGTGTAGTAGTATATAGTATTCAGTATAGTATTGAGTGTTGATTTAGTCTATAAGTATTTCTATAATTATATTATTATTATATTATTACATATAAGAAAAATGTAACATAACAACTCTTGTTTGTTAAGTTTGACTCTTAAGGAAAATAAATGAGCCAGTAGATCGCTGACAGACAAATAGTATAGGGTCTATCCTGAGTTCTATCCTGAGCCGCTTGACTGCACTTGTATTATTTATATAGTATTAATACTTGACTATCATGGCAATATCTCAGTCAAAAATTTGATCGTTACCTTAATCACAAGTTGATTATTTGCGTTTACTTTTGAAATCACTTAATGGATAACCCTGTGTAGTAGTATATAGTATTCAGTATAGTATTGAGTGTAGATTTAGTCTATAAGTATTTCTATAATTATATTATTATTATATTATTCCATATAAGAAAAATGTAACATAACAACTCTAGTTTGTTAAGTTTGACTCTTAAGGAAAATATATGAGCCATTGATATGAACCATGATCGCTGACGGACAAAAAGTATAGTGTCTATCCTGAGTTCTATCCTGAGCCGCTTGACTGCACTTGTATTATTTATAAAGTATTAATACTTAATCATTTTGGCAATATCTCAGTCAAAAATTTGATTGTTACCTTAATCACAAGTTTATTATTTGTGTTTACTTTTGAAATCACTTAATGGATAACCCTGTATTATTTATATAGTATTAATACTTGATTATCATGGCAATATCTGAGTCAAAAATTTGATCGTTACCTTAATCACAAGTTGATTATTTGCGTTTATTTTTGAAATCACTTAATGGATAACCCTGTATTATTCATATAATATTAATACTTGCTCACATCATGGCAATATGTTAAACAATATGTTAAAATTTTATTAAAATCTCAATCAGAAGTGTGTTATTTGGATTTACTTTTCGAACCACAGAATGCCATATGTTACCATATGTATTGAACTCCCTATTAACTTTTTAATAACACTACTTTTTTAATTAGTGAGTGTATGTAGCGCATTCAACAACTCTCTGTCGTCTAAATTATTCATAAAAAAAGAGAACATTTTTTATGTGCAGGCAGACGGCAGCACTTTATGAAGTACTAATATAGCACCCACTATTTAAGCAAATGCACACAACAACGCAAACACAAACAAATAATTACTGCCAAAGACTGTGTCAACAATGCTGTAACAGCAACCACAACAACAACAACCACAGCAAATAATTTTGACAACAGCCAAACAATTACAAAACCAATAACAAACACAATAGTGAAAGCACTGCCACAAATGATATCATAAGCAGCACTTCAAACCAAAAAAACCAAAACAAAAAAAAACAAACTCATGAAGAGAAACCAAACAATGTCCAACCTACCTACAACAATGACAACAACAACAACAACAAGAGTAATAGGAATATCAATATCAGCAGCTACAGCTACAGCTACTAAAAACAGCAGCAAAAACAAAAAACAGATAAAATAACAAAAACAAAAACAGAGACAGAAACCAAAACAAAAAAAATTACATTTATTATCATTAAAATGTCATAAAAATCACTTTCCCTTTTAAAAGCAAAGTTGTTGTTTTTGTTTTTGTTTTGTTTGCTCTTCTTCACGGGCAGGCTACTCTTTGTTGATTAAAAAAGGACAAAAGCATTGAATTTTATGCAGACATCTACCACCCATACATGCACACACACACACATATATATATACATGTATATTGTAAAATATTAAATGATTGTATTTTTTAATTGTTGAGAAAACAAATGAGTCACATTTCGAAGTGCATTTCCCTATCGATTATGTTTCGAATATGACTTTCTCATCTTATCACTACCAACGGCGCTACCAAAGTGGGTCACGTAATAGTGGATCTTAGCATCCGTAACCACATCATCTCTTATCTGAATTAGTAAGAAACTTCGAGTAAAAAAAATGCTATATTAGAAATGAGTTCCGCTTGATTTGACGAAAATAATTTATACCTATTAATAATAATAATAACATTCAAGCATGGATTGATCTTTAAAACTTGTCCGATTTACCAGTATAAACCCATTGCACGGTGTTAGAAAACACAAATTTTCGTATTTACTATGATCGACTGATAGCCTTACATCCTGATAGCATGATATGGTTGATAGAAGGAATAGTTTAGTATATCTTATTCATATTGCTATTCCGCATAATGGCAACATTGAGCAGAAGTATTCAGAAAAGATAGGCAACTACTTACCACTGGCCCGGGAAATCAAAGAATTTTGGAGATTTCAGCGATTAGTTATTGTACCAATAATACTATCAGCTATAAAATACCGAAAACACTCACACACTCTATGGATATGCTTGAACTCTCTGAAAATCCAATAAATACTATGCAGAAATCAAAGAAATTTGGGGACTTCAACAAGTGGATGTAGTACCAATAGTACTATCAGCCAGTTGTATAGCACCCAAAATACTCACACAC